CAGCCCCGGCACCCGTCCGATTCGCCGCCGGCCAGCTCGCTGCTCCTGCCTGGGTGCCGAAATGCCCCGGAGACTTGCTTTGTTGCAGACGTCTACCGGTTTTCCGGAGCTACCTCCCCAGCCTGCCCCCACCCAGACCCAGGGAATGGGGCTCGCAGACGTTCATCCTTCGTTCAGAAAAGGCCGAGAGGGAACGGGAAAGGGCAGAGACGCACTGCTCCTGGCATATTTCTTTTGAATGTTTTTTAATCGTGTGTTGTTTTTTATTGCTTAGGAAAAAGAAGAGCCTCGGAAGGAGGGATTGCTGTATCACACCCGATCTGTCAGTGCTCTGTTATTTCAGTCCCAAAGAGGAAGCGCCAGGCCCCGGACGACAGAGCTGTGAATGAGCCCACGCAGGGCGAGTAGAGAATTTATTCCAGGCGGTAGCTGGTGGCGACGGCACGGTGCAAGGGGTGGAGCGTGCGCTGCCCTGGACAGCCCGCCTGAGCTCCTCCCCAGCACTTTTACAAAGGATGGAGAGAGCAGGCCCACCAAACGCGGCCCCTGGAAGAGAGGCAGTCCTGCTGGGGGAGGGGCAGGCTGCCGGCCCCCTCTGGCTTCATCCCCTGGGATATGTGTCCTGCTTTTTCTCCATTGTTCATTTCTCCTGCCATGTTGACCTTGATGTGGCATGAAAGATGCTTATTTGAATTTTGAAATAAGATCTCCACCCCCGTTTTAATCTTTCCGCTACCAGAAGCAGCTGAGGTGGTGGGGTTTTTTGTTTGTTCTGTTTTGTTTTTCGGCTCAACGATATAAACTGATGTGTTATCATAACAAGAAGAAAAACCTTTTTTTTTTCCTTTGAAAATATTTTCAGATAATTTCAAAAATTACCCCAAACTTAAAAATAAGAGGAAGGAGCATGACTTTCAGGGTGGCAGTGAGACCTTGTTTAACAGGTTCACCCAAGGGCTAGCTAGGTCTGTAGAAAAACTCAGTTGTGTTTGACTTTGAGGCTCACTACTGAGTCTATCAGGGACATGGCAATGATACCTGTCAACTCGCACATTCTACTGGTCTATCCAACAGAAAGATAATGTCAACGTCGAAGATTTTATTGCGCTGCAGGATGTAGATCAATTTTTCTTTTAACCAAACTAACATCCCTTCTAATGCCTGTAAATATTCAAATCCCCAAAATGGTCTTTCAACCGTCTCCACCGTGTTCAGTTCCTAGGTCTCCGATGTGTGCCTGTATTCATGTGGGAATCCTGCTTTCAACTTTTAGAAGTTATACTCTGAAAACCCAAAATTAAATTTCCAAAGAAAAATGGGTTTCGTTAAAGTTCTCTACAATCCTACTTTACTCTCTTCATATAAAATAAAAGCCCAGTGTGGCCTTTGACTTGAATTCTGTGGAGCGAATAAGTTTAGAAATATCAGTACTCCAAATATTTGCAAGTATTATATGTATATGTTCTTAAAGTACCTGTCTGATATGAGCCAGTTTTGAGAATGACAGACAGAACCCCTTCACTGTGTTCATCACAAATTGAGGCCTGTTCCTTCTGTGTATAAAGAGCGAGAAGGTAACTCTATAAGTCAGTCATCTTGGTCCCTTAGATTCAAAGGCTGTCAGTTTGTAGAAAGCCCTTTTACTCATTGGCTATAGTGCTATTCCCAAACATTCCAGTACAGAGGAAGATCATACTTACCTCCTGTCAGTGTTCCCAGTGACTCGTTTAAAACGGGAAAGTGCACTGCTTCCAACTTTGAAACAGAACTCAGACAAGTATATGAAATAATGTGGCCTCTTTGAGAATAAAATGAAAGAAAAATGTACTTACTAAAATAAGGATTCAATAATGTTAGTAGAAAAGAAATAAAAATTCTCAGGGACTCATGAGTAGAAAGGACCAAAATTAAGTCTTAGGAACTAGTCATATACAATGAAAACAATTGATTGAAACAGCATATTATGGCTAAACCCCCAAGATATTCTCAAATAAAACTCTATTATTTAGTAGTTTGTAAGAAATCATTTTAATTTTTGTTATTCAATCAATTCTTAAACTTGTTTTCATATTAAATTAGGTTTTAAAATTGTCTTTTCAGTAACTTTTCAAGGGGTTTTAACAATATTTTATACTATTCAATTTGGAATAGGACAGTACTGATGAACATCATGTAACATGCAGTTATTTTGAAAACCATTGACTTAGCTAAACGAAGTTCAAGAAGAGTTCAAAAAGAGAAGCAGGAAAATTAGTAGGTAAATTTGTGGAAAAGTTTTAGAATAGTAATTTCCAAGGTGGTGATAGATTTCTAGTCCTCCAAATGGTCCAGGAAAATTTTTTAAAGTAAGTTTTGGAAAGCAGACATTTTATAAATTCACAATACATGCTAGGCAGCCAAAAAAGTATTCCATCTATTTTTAACTAGTGTTCCTTAAATTTATTGAAGACAATGTAACATTTTGCTTAAATATATCAATTAACATCACATGTACTAGGAATTTTTAGAAAACAGTTCCTGAGTACATTAGGGGAAAAAATTACATTGTGTATTGAACAAATGAAAATTCATTACTGAAGTTCTGTTTATTGAACAGGTGAATGAAAGAAAAAATCATACCACATGTTTATCACTGCCTCGTTGTAATGAAGATACACAGTCCATGTTTCACAGTTTTTAGTACAAATACATATTTTATACGTGTGTATATAATATTTAATGCATGTATAATATGTGAAATTTTATTTCATACAAGTAGAATGAAGGGAAAATGAAGATGTTAGATTTGATTGTTAATCTACTTACATATTGAAAATTTGAAAGTTTTACTTTTCCTAACATTGCTATTAAAACCAGCATCTGAATTTTGGCTTTAATGTGAATAGAGTCCTTATTATTAATTGGAAAAAAAAACTTTTTTTTTTCTGATGTATTGACCTAGCTCTATGTACAATGTAGAACAATAGGCCAGTGGTCAAGAAAAGAGTTTCCAAATTTACTGAGGTTCAATAGTCACCTGCTACTACTAGTAGTGTCTGCTTGAACAATGACTCTATGCTTCAATACTCTTATTTGCAAGATGGAGATGATAATTATCTATCTCAGAAGTTCTTACAGAGGTTAAAAGACATTCCTAGAAATAAACAAACAAAAACAGTCAATAACCAATAGCGTTATCATTCTTATTCTCATCATTATTATAACAAACCTGAAGTTTGGAAGATTATGAAAAAAGTGCTGTACTTAGTAAGTTCATAGATGATATTATATTTTCTTTTTACTTTCCTATGATGGCACAGTGCTTATATAGCGTTTTTTCTCCCTAAAAACCATACAATTGCAAACTTTACTGAACACAAAAGCACTCTTTGGATAGAATGAGGTTAATCCAGAATGGTTTTTTGCTCACTTTATGGCTTTTCCATTTAAAATGCTTGCACATCCCTGGAGGGACAGACAATTACTAGAAATCACTTCCTGCAAGATGTTGGGACAAGAAGCCAGACTGTTTACAATGATGGGAAGCTGACAGATGCCTGCTCCATTGGCCTACTGGACCCAGTGACTTGTAGCTTCCTGACATTACTCTTGGCAATGGCCAACCTTCTCTGTGAAAGAGAGGACTTTTGTCTGAAATGATAATTTTTCATGGAAAAACAGATAAAAACACTTCTTCCCTGACTCTGTCCTCTAATCCTTTCTTTTATTAGCTCCCATGCCTGCCACCATAACAAAAGGGGCCTTGTTATCTGACTGGTAAATATTTGAGCTCTTGAAGAGCCAGAAGTGCCCAAGGAAGCAAATCTTTGACATGAAAAATGTATACTAGTGACAGACTATATATGATATTGTTCTCCCTTTGAACATCCCTACCTAATTAGTTCCATGCATATAAAAATCACCTTCTGAGAACCTTACTTTGATTTATCTAGAGTGAAATGCAAATAAGATGTAAACTGAGTACTCAGTGAAATTTTGGTTTTTGCAAAAGACTAGAGATTTTTTGAAATCAGTGGAATCACATTCAAAACCAGCAACAAGTGAGTTATTGTAGTAGCAACCAAAGAGTAAAAAACTTGAGAAGGGTGATGATGTGTCCATTCAGAGGGGAGTTATCTAAGAACTAAAAATGATCTTTGGAAAAATTTATGGAACCCTTAATTTCTTGTAATGTTTCATTTTCATAATCATACGGTGTCAAATATGAGGTGAAGGTTACCATTTTGAGGTATAAAATTTTTCTAGAAAATTTACATATAACTCCTGAAATGGACAAGATTCATTCATTATTGTTTCTAAGAATTAGTTCACTATTTCGTTTATACTGAGAATATAAAATGAGACTATTTTTATAATTTCTTTACTGATTATCATGGCCTATCAGGCTGTACATCCCCCACCCTGGTGATAACTAAACTTATCTCCAACCACAGTGGCCTCTGCAGTTATTATAACAAGCAAGCCTGATCCTCACAGGACCTTTGTGGAAGCACCAGCCTCCACATACTCAAATGTGTTCATAGAGGAGAGCTTCCCTGACCACCCTTTCTGAATTAGTATCTCCTGTTACATTATTCCCCTTTATTTTCTTTATAGGATCTATAACTGTCTAATATGTAATATATATTCATCTATCTGTTTTGTATTTGCTGCCCCCCAAAGAGAAAAAGATTGGGAGGTATTATTCACTATTGTATCCCTAGAGCTCAAAATTATATCTACGATGGTAGCTACCCAATAAAGGTTTGTGGAATGAAATAAATATGTAGATATTTAGTTTCATGCTTTTAAGATAAAACT